GGGGGGGGGGGGGGGAATGAAGAAAGTGCTGGGTGTGTGCTCCCGCACTTCTATTAGATCCAAACAATCTGTCTGAGCGTGCTCACAGTGTCACAAACGTGTCTGTGAGACTGGCCAGATCTAAAAAGCAACAATTCCCTCTGCGTGCAGGAGCTGTGTCTCCGGTCTCCTTGATGGTCGTGTCCTGTTTTGGGAGATGACAAATGCACCCGCAGGCTGGTGGGCTCATCTAAGGAGAGGCAAACCGCAGTTCAAAGTCGTGGCCTCACTTGGTGTCAGGAATCTCACTTTCTCATGGCTGGTAAACTGCCCTCGGGTCACTCTTCTCACCATTAGCATGTTGGTGGCTGCTTCTCCTGCTCTGTCAGCGTTTGGTGAGGACGTGAGGTTGGGCCTCACCATGTCAGCCAGAAGAATTCAGATGGCAAAGCACGGAGAGAGCAATCTCCATCCCGCTGGCTGGACATGTCTGGAGGATTTTGCTCTCCCCTTTGCTTTCATGTCATGAGTTAGCTAGGGATTGTTCCTGATAAATAATCCGGAACTGCACTGTAATTTTCTGGGCTGAAATTTGATAATTAAGCAAATATAGCATGTCTTTGTCTTGGGTAAGCACCATAAGGTAAACAGGAAGGAATGAGGGATTAAGACATCTCTGCTCTAAAGGAAGGTGACAAGCCCAGAGCCGTGACACCTTCGTGCCGAGCTGAGAGGCCCAGCTGTGGGTTGGCATTGCACAGATGCATTGTTCAGGGGTGAAGAGCAAATAAAAGCAAAGGGAAAAGAAAACAAGCTGTAAAATTCTCGGCAAAGCACAGAGCCCCAGCAACTGCCTCTTGATGTTCCTGTGACAGCTCTGGGGAGAGGCAGGCGAGGGGTCGAGCTTTTGAAGTCCTTAAGTTGTCCTTTGCAAAGGCCCCCTGTTAAAATAGTCCCTGTGTTGACATTAGGCTGCATATGGTGGAGAAATTGGACATCTCCCGGCAGGTTCAGTCACAGCACATGCAATCAAATCAGAGGGGGACTTTTTGGCGTTTGACTAACTGGGTGTCAGGCTGGCCCGGTCCCAGCGGCAGGGTGAGAGATGCAGAGGCAGAGGTGAGATTTTATCAGCATGCTCAGGACTGCAGGCGCGTAACAGAGCCTTGAGTTACGGGTACCAAGGGCAGGAAGGAAAGCTGGGGAAGAAGGTAGCTGGGAAGGTCTTGAAATTATCTTTGGAGCCCAAACACACACATGCATTGGGACTGGTGAGAGTGGACATACTGAGAAGATCAGGCAGGTGATGTTGGAAACCCCCTTTCCCCCCCGGTGCAGACAGAGGGGCCTCGCGGGGTACTGGGAAGCAGGGGGGGGGGTCCCAACAGTTTCGGGGGGAGCTTTGCAGCACAGTGTGAAACACCACAGTGCAAGAGCAGATGAGAAGGGAGATGAGCAGCGATCACATGGGGCAAAGCGGGTACAACAAAGCTGGGGGAGCAGCCAGGGAGTTGTGCATTGCCATTTCCTAACCAAGGGTGGGCTCCCTCTGCTCACAGCTCTGCTGCACTCAGCTTGTGATTCACATTAAGAGTGGGGAGAGGCAAAAAGGCGTATTTGTTGCAAATCACAATGGTGAAATGAGGTCTTGGTGACCTCAGCTTCCCCTCCAAAAATCTGGAGTCACCACATAGCACTGGTCAAGGAGGGATGCAGGTTAGCAGTTGAATTCCCTTAGCCAGAGGAACCACCAGAGCATCCCGCCCTGTGACACCCACTCTGTGGTGGGGCTCCCCAGGCAGGACCTCGAGGGTGTCCAGCCCCATGCCCACAGGCTCCCCCGGGGTTGGCACCTCCATGGCTGGCGCAGATGCTGACAGTCTCTGCTCTTTGCCTCTTGCAGCCTGTAACTGCAACCTCCATGCCCGGCGGTGCCGCTTCAACATGGAGCTCTACAAGCTGTCGGGGCGCAAGAGCGGTGGCGTCTGTCTGAACTGCCGGCACAACACTGCGGGGCGGCACTGCCACTACTGCAAGGAGGGCTTCTACCGGGACCTCAGCAAGCCCATCTCCCACCGCAAGGCCTGCAAAGGTACCGGGTCAGGGGTGGGATGGCTGGGACCGCACAGCTCCTTCTCCTCTGACCCCTTCCGCTGCCCCTGCTTCCACAGCTCTTGCTCTCACCAAATTCCTGCTGCTCGTCCCTCTCCCAAACCAAGCCCCTGAAATAAATTTTCTTACCCCCACGTTCCCTGCTGTCACCTCTCCTTGGTCTCCCCAGCTTCCCGGTGAGGACAAGGCCACCAAAATACAAAAAGTCCTCACTGCTAAGGAGGACTTTAAATTATTTCAAGTTTTATCACCTATAAATCATGCTTCATCTGCTCCAATAGCCACAGATAATTTCGTCATCACATATGTAAGGGCGGAGTTGCACAAAACCCCAGATACAGGTTGAGATGTAGTTCCTGTAACTCAGCCTCCTCCAAACCCTTTCTCCTGCTCTCACCCTGCACCCTCGCCCTCAGTGCTGCTCGGGGCACAGGCAGTGCTTAGCCCATGCACAAAACATTTCCCTCCTTGGGATGAGGTGAGAACAGTAAAACAAACGGGAAACAATTTTATTTTGAGCTCAGCAAATGGAGTTTTTTGAGGTTTCCTCTTCGGCGGTGGATGTGAAGGCGAGCAGGGCTTCAGCTGGGGTGGGAGAAGCAATAAGAGCAAATCCCACAAATGAACTTTTTTAACTCTCTGCTGTCTGCTGGAAGAGATCTCAATCCTGAACGTGAGACACAGCTAAAGGAATCAAGCAAACACTAAGAAGCCAGATTAGAAGATGCTGGGGTTTCCTGAAGAAAGCTTCAGCTCTTTTTCTCTCTAAAGATTTGTTTCAACAAGAAACGGAAAGCTTTTTGGCCCGAGCTGTGTATTTTTGGCTGGAAAGCTTTGGGTCTTCAGCATTTTCAATTTTTTAATGAAAACGCTTCTTCATGTTTTTTTTTTTTTCCACTGAAAACAGACACTCTTTGCCAAAACAGAAAAAGAAATTACTTCTTTAGACGGCCCTACTCCCCCTTTTTTCACCTTGTAAAAACTATTTCAACGAGACATTTTTGACCCGCCCTGTGCTGAGGCTGCTAACAAGCTACAGCTTCAGCCGACGCACGGGCTCGTGGGATGTGAACCCAGCCCGTAGCTCTAGCAGGGAGAGGACCTGTTGTTTCAGGGTCCGGGGAGCCAGAAGGTAGGGGTGCAGGGGGGCTGAGATGCTTCCACGCCAGCCCCAACACCCAGCATCCTGGCCGGACCCCCACTCCGGCAGCGAGCTGCCTGCGGCGCGCAGCCGCGCCTTGCCCCCGGTCCCGAGCGGATATGTGTCGTAATAAAGTTCATATTTCTGCTTTCATGGCCGGGTTGCAGCTGAAGTAACAGCGCATTAGGTTGAGGCAAACAAAGGGAAATTGTGAAGGCGTGGGTTCTCCTTGAGTGGGGCTGGGCAGTGATGCAGGCGGGCATCCAGAGGCGCTTGCTGATGTCCAGAACCTGATTTTCATTTACCTTCCCGCTCCCCAGAAGGGGTTTTGGGGGTCTGGGGCAGTGGTGGGAATTCTAACCCCTCCTCACACAGTTAACTCCTTCCCAGGGCTCTGATTTATCCTGGCTGTCTCCCCAGCGTGGAGGCTTCTGGGGATGTGGTGGGATTTGGGGGAGAGGAGTGGTCTTTCCATGGGGTCACTGTGCATCCATAGGGATTCCAGTCCTCTGGGATCAGCACAGGGAGCACGGAGCAGGGAGGGGATGTTCAGCTGGAGGGTAGAGCAAATCCTATCCCCGTCCATCTCCAGATTTTACCTCCTGGGAAATGCAGTCCCTGCCCTGTGTTGGCAGCAATGGCCACACTTAAACCTCTCTGTCTCATTTCCCACACTTAAACCTCTCTGACATTTCCCAGGACCTTCCTCACTCCTGCTTTTCCCAGCTCTCCTGCCCATCCAGGCAGCCTGCTCCCCCTCTCCTGCCCATTTATTCTTGCTGGTCCCTGGCCCCTCACTCTTGCATTACTCTCTGTGGCTGATAGCACCGGTGTACTACCCAAAAAGCACAACCAGGTGGCAGATGGGAAATCTCAGAGCTGTGCTGTGCCTCAGTTTCCCCAAGCGAGCGCCCAGGAAGATGCTCTCTGGCCTTCACGAGGGACTCTGCAATGTTTTAAGGCTGAATTTCTCAGTTGCTGGGTCATTCACTCTATTAAATGCTCTTTGCAATTGTCGTTTTCTCATCCCCCTGCCTTCCCGAACTGCTCCTGCTCTTGAAATCTGAGATCGCCAAATTTAAATAGTTCTCCAACCCCCCACGGTTTATAACAAAAATGTGGCTATTGGAGCTAACAGATACAAAGGTATGTAATAAATATGCTGGTGCATGAACAGCTCCCCGACTTGCAGACTATTAGCACAATTTCACAGTAGTTGGAATGGTTTATTGTTGGCGTAATCCATCGTCCTATACAAAAGCGGGTGAAATGAAGTTTCCTACAGCAAAGGCATTCCTTTGAAAACTCGTTTTCCTGAGCTCTGTTTATGACACAAGGGATTTTATGTTCCCTCTATTTTTCTTCCCTGATTCAGAGACTGTTCTGAAATTATTGTTGAAAACAGGCATTTTTGAAAAACAAACCCTACCATCTAACAACTTCAGTCATTTCTCCATTGATAACAGTATTAATTTATCATCTCACCAAGCCATCTGCCGATGGGCAAAGCTCTCCCAGAGTCTCATCTAGACCGAATGTGTTTAGAATTAGGGAATTAACCACCCTGTAGCATCTGCCATCTCCCTCACAACTGCCTGACATCTCATCTCACCCAGCAGATTGTGTTTTCTCTGTAAGACTTGATTCTTTCAACCACCGCATTGCTCCATTCATGTCCTACATGTAACACATTGAAACAAATGCATATAATAGAGCACTGGTGCCTTGTGAGCCGATAGAGAGCTGCCAAGGAAGCATGCAGCACACTTAACCACCCTGGCAAGCAAGCCTGAGCTCAGGCGAACTCACAGCAAATGTTCCATGAAAGAGCTGCTGAAGAGATTTTTGTATTAATTCAACTTCATTAATTCAGTCTAACAGACATGTCCAGCTAAACATCTTTCCTCTCACTTGTGTTTTTCATCTCTCACTCCATCCTATGCACTAGGTTATGTACCTCAATCCATAATGCATCTAAGGTCAGAAAATTAGAGGCGTGAGTTGCATTGGTTTAAATGGTTGGTTTGGGTATTTGTGCAAAAATACCACATTGCAGAAATGTTTGCACAGTGCCTTCTTTTTTTTTAACTTGGAGAAAAAGAAAATGCCACACACTTTTGCACATGTTGCAGGGCATGGTGAGAGGCTCAGGCAGCAAAAGGTGAGCAGAAAGTAGAGCAGGGCAATGGCCTTCTGCCTGGGCAGAGGGCTGGTTGGTTTTCTAATAGACAAATCTATAATAATTTTTAATTAAAAGATTTTTTTTTAATGATTTGAAATTATCAGTTGAAGGCATAAGTTGGGCTTTAAGGATGACTTTTATGCTGCTGGTTATAAGTGATGCAGCCATTCCTTGCCTCTGCATTTGCTTCCAACTGTTTTCTTGCAAAAGCGATAAAAGCAAAAAAGTTGCAGTGATCAGAGATGCCCTGTCGCAGAGCCACGCAACAGGCAGAGCATGGCATGAAGCCTGCAAACCACATGCAAAGGAATTGATGACAGATGGAGCAGGGATATTGCATGAAGTGGCAACGCTGGGTGCGCGCCAGAGCCTGCCAGGCTGGAGCCGGGAGCTGACGGACGACCGTGGCTGCTGTGGGTGGGTGGTCAGGCAAACCCAGGGACACCAGTTACTCAAGCGAGGGCTCGGGCTCCCCCGGCATTTTGAGGTCAGACTGCACAACTGATCTCTGCGTGGCCCCGGACGGGGACTCTCAGGCTGGACAAGTCCGGCGGTAGTGCCAGTCCTCCACCGGGGGGGATGGCTGGGCTCATCCCCAGGGGCACCAGTGTAGGATGCCCTTTGCTCTGGCACATAGATCAAAACCCTGGTCCTGCTCACACCCCTTAGGTGTGTGGGCTGTCCCAGGAAACCACAAAATCCCAGCTATAAGAAATTTTGCATGTTCATCTTTTAAAACTCAGAACAAGGGCAAATTGTTCCTCTTTTCTCACTGACTTTTGAGAGAGCATGAAGAGCTCCCAAAGCGCTGAAGTTCTTCTGCTTTCCCTCTGCTCCAAATGATGTTGCAAGTGACATTCCACATCTGGGTCCTGCAAACCTCCGTCCTCTCTGCTCTGTCGTGGGCTGCTGTAAATCAGGGCCCTAGTGTTAGTTCTTTTGATTAAATTCACTCCTGATATTTGCCAGATTATTGGCACTAATGTAATTCTATTGGAACAGAGACTCTGCAGGATTTTATAGTCTGGCTGTAAAAAAGCTCTGCACTTCAGGGAAAGGATTTACACACTTTTTGATGAAAAGATGACAAATGATACGCGTTATGAATGCACTTGTGCTGAGGCTGCCAGTGTAAACCCCTTGCAGAGGGGCAGGATTTGGCACCTGGAGAGGTCACATTCATTAGGACTCAGTGTTTTGGTAAAAAATAGGATTGCCTGCCTCCCCGGTGCTGTTGCAGTCCCACACCCATGCCTAGCCGGGCAGACTTTTCCATCAGCATTGGAGAATTATTTAATGGCTCATGAGAGAAAAAAAAAAAAAAAAAAAAAAAAAAAAAGCACTCCCAGCCTACCTTGCCCATCCTGGCTTGTACCCTCAAGACTTTGACATTTGCCTTTCGGACAGTTTGGGTTCAAGCAGAGAGGATGAATGCTGTCCCGGTGAGCTCAGCCTCTGGTCCATTATTTCATGGGTGCAGATGCAGGTTTTCTTCCCACTCAGCTGCAAGCATTTAGTAGGGGGGGACACTAACGCTTCTGAACCCCTTTGGCCCCTTGTGCTGCCTGGAGAGGAGAGCAGAGCCCCTGGTGACAGGGACAGTGGGAGGAGTCCCCTGTCTCTCTCCACTGACTATAGAGGGAGCTGCGTGACCAGC